CCTCAGGGCCGCCGCGGGGCGGCTCCGCGCCTCTGAGGTAGCTGGCAGCGCGCTTCAGCCCCCGGTAGAGCCCCGCCGGGGGAAAGAGAAGGTGGAGAAGTGCCGCGGGGCTGCTGTGCGCGTTTGTCGTGCTGGTAAAGCACAAACGAAGCCAGACGGAACAGGAGAGGATTTCTTTCTCCTTCCGGTTCAGTGATAGTTGGTGTTTAAGCAGTTGATACGACGCTGAAGAAATTGGAGTCAGCTTCTACGGGAGCACGGCTGGAGCTCTGCCGCTGCCCTGCCCAGAACTCCTGTTCTGACACTTAGTAGTCATGCTGGCGTTCATAACCTCATGTTTCAGGTACTTCTGTCTGAGCTGGGAGAACTGAGACAGTAGGTAGAGAAGCTTCGCTTTCGTGCTGGTGGTACCATAGTATGTCATGACAGTAGCGTATGAATTACGCGCACACATGATAGCATTACTTTTCTAACAAAAAGTAAAATTTTAACCTTAAAATATATATTGTCCAGTTCAATACAGGCTTATTCCACTGGAGGTAAGCTTTTTCATGGTATAATTTTAAGCACTTAATGACAGTAAGATCTCTCTTGGGTGTATTTTAAATTTCCAATTTTGAAACCCTGTTCTGATGCCTTTGTATGTTCAGCATAATGGATGTTTGTAATAAGTGGTATCTGACATTTCAAAATCATTAAATTTCATACTGGTAGAGAAAGTACTCCGAAGCGATCTTTGAACTGGAAAGCAACAGAAGACGTGGGATGTTAAAGTACAGTAGGGGATCAGAGAAGAAATTCTCAAAAAAAAACTTTGAGAAGAGTCCACTGTGTTTCTCAGTTTTTGGTACTTAGGATTATTAACGTAGTTATTTTTCAGAGAGCTTTGGTTTAAAATCTTAGCCTTGTGTTTTAGCAGATATTATATGTTTATATACATGCACATCTATTTCAGATTGTTACATGAAACTAGTTGAAACTGATTACTAGTTGGAACTTGATTCTAAAGCTAAAAATACTTGAAATCCACAAGCTTTCAGAAACTTTATAATGAAGCACAGAGCTGAGACAAGTTCCAGACCTAAAGCAAGGAATCTGTTGTGGCTTTCAGTAAATTAAATAGTGAGCATAACTGTGTTTTTGTAGAACATTTTGTGTTTATTGGTGATGGCTTTGTTTGCGTGTGCAAGATTTCTCATCTTTTTTCTTTTAAATTTTACTCTAAGCCACATCAACAGATTGCAAGGGAGGCTTTGGGATTTTGTGTATTTGAAAAGGAGTTAGAAAAATGAAACTTAATACTGGGATATGTACTTAATGTCCATCTTAAAACTTTATTCACAGTAAAAAATAAAAAAGGAAAGATAAACTATTTTTCTTACTATACTAGTAAAACTTCAATGTATTAATACTGAAACTTTGATCTTGTGTTCTTCTTTTTCTTTGCAAGGTTGGAATTCATACCAAGGCATGGTTTATTGCTGGAATATTTCTCCTAATGACTATACCAATATCCCTCTGGGGAATACTGCAACACTTAGTCCATTATACTCAACCTGAATTACAGAAACCAATAATAAGGTAACATTTCACATTTTACCTGTGCTATAAATGTTGAATTTAATTCAGACTAAAAATACTTCTAGTAATATTAAATGTTCTTTTGTTATTGTAACAGGATTCTATGGATGGTGCCGATTTACAGTTTAGACAGTGTAAGTGTTCTCTTACTGTTAACAGCTCAATAAAATTCTGTTTGCTGTGGGAGTGAGGGAAACCAGTGTCACAGTTAGCAGAAGCTGTGCTGCATGGAGAGTCATAGTCCTAGAAACTTCTGGGCATTCCTATTTATGGAATATGTCAGAAGCACAGTTCTGGCGATATTACATTCTTCTTGCGGAGCTTGTGGGATCGCTTTTGGTAACCCTTCTTAACCCTGTCCTTGAGTATCCTTTATGACAGGTGTGGAAAAGGGTATGACAAGAGCCTGCCTTTGGTCCTTCCATCTTCAGTAACAGCTGAACTGGAAACCGGACTGATCCAAGTACTGGCTCAAAATCCGGTGCCTTACCTTTCTTTCCCGAGTTATGCTTAGTGCTAAAATTCTTCCTTTTTGCTTTGAGGGACCAAGGGTAAGATCCCACAAAAAAAATCCTTCTTTCTGAATACTTTTATGCAATAGATTCTATTGGCCATACCAGATATGGTTCATGTGAATACATCACCTGTGGAGATGATTTCAGCCAGAGCTAAGCAACAGACTAAATCTGTGGACTGCACAGGATGCGTGTTCGCATGTTGTCATCACCTCTTGACATTGCAAATACTTCTGTTTCCCCCATAAAAGACAGTTCCAGGAACTTTTGCTTTGATTTTTCTCCGATCTCTTGAGTGTGTATGAAGTGTCACCCTTATGTATGTTCTCAATTCTTTTTTTGAACGACTGCGATTTAGAGTATCTGAGAGTACAGGGGAGCAGGGAAGAAAACAACATTATCTGTTTCCTGTAGGGAATATCAACTACGTCAGGTTGATATTCAATTTCAGTTTTCCTTTGGAAGAAAATTGCCTGCTAATTAAATGAGCTCTAGCCAGGCATTCAGGGACATTTCTGACACACTGAAATCTTTCCGCAGTCTTCTGGGGGATCTTATGGCCTTTGCTGCATATATGGTATCCTCCTAGAGAGCTTAATCTGAGCTGAACATAAAGTTCTCTTCTCAGATTCAAATACTGTCTTCTCAGTTTACTAGATGCAGTATTATGTCTTCCACAAAGGTGTTACAGCATCTGTCATCTCTAGTATTTCTTAACTGTGATGAGGATGTGAAGCATCTTCCTGTAGTTCTAATAAGAAGGTCAGAGAAGTCGCAACATTCACTCTACTACAACCTAGGGAAGCAAAGTAAACTCAAAAGACCTGCCTCTATCCCATTCTCCCCCCTCCCCCCAAAAAAAAAACCCAAACCAAAAAAACACAGTAGGACAGGTTGCCCTGAACAGTGCAACAGCAGTGTGATACTCAAAACTAAAAATTGAAAGCTCTGACAGCTGATCCATAATCAGAGTTTTGCAAAAAAATCACTTTTCTGTCTGAAATTCTGATTTAGAGGGATGACTACCACTTTAAGGTTAATCTGCTGCTTTCTTCTATATTTTACAAACATGCCAGAACAAACATTTACATGTTAGATACCAAAAGAAATCAGTCATTATATTGACGGACTAAAAACTTAGTTCTCAAACCCATATTGACAATGACTGTGTGAATTTCAGGAAACAGTTCTATCTTGTCTGCCCCTTACAGGAGTAGGTTATATGTAGGGAACCATCTGCTTAGTTACTTTTAAGTGAAAGACTGAATTGTGTGGTCAAAGATACAGAGCATCTCTTGCGCAGTGCTTTAAGCACGCTTCAATTTGAAGCAGCAGAGATGCAATCTGAAGTTCTTGTATTTTTACAGAACGTTATTTTCTAGCTGTAGCATCACACTGTCATTAGCCAAATGCTGCAAGCCCTGTTTAATTAGTGCACGCTGTCTAATGAAGTATTGCTTGCTGAAGTAGCCAGCCAGTGTTGTCATTAGAATAATTTTTGTCTTTCTTGCATGTAACCTTTTGTGTACCTCTCTTCTTACAGTGGATAGCTTTGAAATACCCCAACATTGCAATATATGTGGATACATGTCGAGAATGCTATGAAGCTTATGTCATCTATAATTTTATGGTTTTTCTTTCAAATTATCTAACCAACCGGTATCCAAACCTCGTATTAATAATAGAAGCGAAAGATCAGCAGAGACATCTGCCGCCTCTATGTTGTTGTCCATCATGGGCTATGGGAGAGTGAGTATATGATACCACCTTAAAATTTTAAGCTGTGTAATCAGATACAAACATTGTGTTTTCATATTTAGTGGTATAACTGTTGTTGCTTGGCAGAGTTGGTTTATGTTTTGCACACATCTTGTTTATCAACTGTGAACCCCTATTGAAAGCTGTGAACATGTCTTCATCTAGCTGTAAAACATCCTATAAATTGCACTTAGTCACTAACATGCATTGACTCAGGTGGTGCAGAAGGAAACTTCCTTGTTTTTGAAAAATAATGGAAAAATGTCTCCTTGAATTTGCTTCCTTTGCTATCATATAATATTTGCCAAAAGTGTCATGTAGAATCGCAGGTAGACCAGATAGCCTATTGCTTTTACTTCCACAGGTGAAGGACGAAAGGCCATATGCCCCTGCACTGTTTGTTTCTGCATGCTTAATCTGATAAGCATCTCTCTTAAGAGAGTTGGATAAAGCTGTTTAAATGTTAAAGACAAACTATGAATGTAAGTCATTCTTAAACATCTTCAAACACAGCGAAAATGGCATTCTCTTTGTTTAGCCCAGCCAGAAGCTTTCCATGGCTAAAAGAAGTGAATCATTGGGTATTGCCTGTTACATAACTGTAAAAGTCTAGGTCTTTTGTGTATTGCCTATATACACACCATATACTGTAGCATCTGAAGTCCTGGAAGCAGAAGCTGAAATTACCGTGAAATAAAAATTTAGTCTAGTGAAACTGCTGAGAACAGGAAACTTCGTAAGTGAATTGTCTTTACATTCTTGTACAATTAATTTTGTGTTTCTCTTGCAGAGTTTTATTATTTAGATGTAAACTGGGTGTTTTGCAGTACACTGTTGTCAGACCATTTACTACCATTATTGCTTTGTAAGTACGCTCATAAATAATTAATATTGATCTTCAGGATGTAATTTCGAGTTACACTGGAAAGAATTTTCATGCCCTTTGTATTGAATCAAGGCAGTTTGAAAGCAGAGTCATCGTGTTACATGCTAAATGGGTCCTGGCAATTTGAATCAACCTATGATTTCTTTATGACTTCTCTATAGCAAAGGACTATTTGCAGAATTGAAATAATAAATACTTAATGCCTGCTGCTGAAGCAGTGGGAGAGAACGTGAAGTACTGTTTATGTGGGAAAGACATTTTTATGATCTCTTAGTTTTTAGAGTCTTTTTTTCCCCTCCTTCTCCCTTTTCTCATTGGCTTCAACAGTTGGGTATTTTTAAAGTCAGGTTTCATGTAACTTTTTAAATTTTATTAAACTTTGCATGTGACAAGCCTGACTGTGTGCCTTCATATATATCATATAACCCACTGTTGTAAAGAAATAGCAGGCAGTTATGAGTGTTGATGCTGAAAGCTTAATTTCACGAACTTTGTATTGATGGTCGTTGCTGTTAATTCTGTGGGACTGGAAAACATTGCTACTCACAAAGAATATCCATATAAATATTTATATTAGCTGTATGTGTTTTAACAATTAAAAGCAAAACAGCTAAAAAAAATTATGTTTCATTGTTGAATTCATTCAACAATGGGATATGTTAACCCTGCATTCAAACAGTGTTTCTCCTGTGGAAAATACAAGACAAACTTCCTATGCCATATGCTGTTGGAAACTGATTCTTGTGCAGACTCCCAGTGCCCATGTTTGAGTACCAAAAGAGATTTTGGATTCTGACAGTTGATTGATGTAATGAAGATTTAGCACTTTAAGAAAGCGATCTTTTACTACATAGTGATTAACTCTAAAAATTCTTTCAGAATTTGTGAACTAGTGGGAGTGTATGATGAAGGAAACTTCAGCTTCAACAATGCTTGGACTTACTTGGTTATACTTAACAACATGTCACAGCTAGTGAGTATCAACAGTACATTTTTGTGCTCTTTCAAGTCATCATATTAGTATTATGTGAATCTTCTATGTGAACTATTGACCATAATTCTGTTAATGTCTGATAATTCTTAGAGGTAGAATATTTCCCACTGTAAGTCAAAGTTACTATTTGTTAAATACTATATATGCAAAATACTAGGTAAAACGGATGATCTAAAACTTACATTATTTTTACAATGAAGCTCCATAAAGCAATAAAGTGTCCCACCTCTCTACCACAAATTATTTGATGGGTGAAGTGGTATGGGCCAGGCATGTTAGAGCTGCAGACTTGCCCCTCTGCAGAAGAGATGACTTCACTCGCCCCCGTAGCTTCTTCCCAGCACACATACAAAGAATCAGCAGCGGCTGTGTTAAAAGTAGTGTTACAAAGCTGGTGGTAAAAACATTGACAGGAAAAAATGGAAATGGTTCATACGGTGCTGAGATTCTGGCCTGCCTAACACCTTGTCTTGTTGGTTCAGCTGACAGATGATGTCAGGGTAAGGGTAAGATGTCAGCCTCTAGATGTGAAAGTTTCATTTTGGAGGTCAGGGATTGCATTTAGTGGCTTGATGGGAATGCAGAGGAATCATTTTCTGCTTCACCCAGGGCACATAACACATGAGCAAGAGGAGAGAGCAGCAGCTCTGGCTCCTTGCTGCTTAGCCTTCCAGCCTCCAAGCTTCTTACTTCTCTTGGCAACAGCAGCAGGAGTCAGAAGAGCACGACATCCCATCCAGAAAGGGCGTTATCCTCCTACTGCCACCCCTGTGTTTGATGGGTGACTGTTAGGGGAGGAACTGTAACTGCTTTCTGCTGTGACAACAGTCCGAGCAGCAGCACATACTTCTGCATGTCCTGGTTGACATGATTGCTTAAAGAAACTTAGCATTAAGAGGCTAGGGCAATGTGCGTGAAAAGGGGAGATCAGTTCCTTAGGTTTGGCTCTACATCAGTTCCATTGCTTGCAGTTGTCATTAATAGGAAACTTCTTTAGATTTGCAGTGAAGATTGCATTCATTGCCTCATCTCTCATAAAGAGGCAACATTTGAAGCGTTCTTAACAGAAGCTGGAAAGAACATGCTTTTTGTGCCATTTTCCCTAGAGATGTGCTTGGCATTGAAAAAATTGTATGCAACCTTCCTATGCTTTGCTTTAGTGTGTAGATAGATGACCTCAGTCTCCGTCTGCCAATACCATGCATTTCAGAAATACAATTTCAGGCAAAAAACCAAAAGCCTGCTTTAAAACAGTAAGGCAAAGATTCCATAAATCCAGAGCCTCTTTTCTAAAATAGATAGCTTTTTAAGTTTGTATTATACTGTAATGTATATTTTAACTGAAGAGATGCTGTAAAACAACCCCCTCACAAAATAAACAGGGATTTGAAAGCTTTTCTTCATTTTCTTTTCCTTGTTAGTTTGCCATGTATTGTCTGGTGCTGTTTTATAAAGTACTACGTGAAGAACTGAACCCTATCCAACCTGTTGGCAAGTTCCTTTGTGTGAAGATGGTAGTTTTTGTTTCTTTCTGGTGAGTTATTTACTCATTACTTCTTGGTCTCAGAGTGGATCATAAAAGAGCTAAAAAGGCTGGATTTTTTACTGAGGTTAGAGGGCTCAAAAAATCTACCCATAATCTTAGTGGAGTGCTGTGAGGGGAAAAGGGTACTAGTACATGGGACAGAGCAGTCTTGTTTACTTGAGATTACTTCTTAGACTTGGTATTTTGTAAGCTGATTCTCAAGAACATAATTTATTTTAGAATCTTGACCTGCAGTTATTTCAAAACAAGAATTGTTTTTTACTTTTTAAAGCAAAAATAAAAGAAATTACTTTAACTTTTTCAAGAGAAGTTACCATAAGTTAACTATAAATTACTATTTAAGCATTGCTCACACTTAGCTGCTAATGAGTGAGTGCATTTGACTATCTGAACATTACTCTGTGGGCTGCAGTAATACCCTGAAAGAGAAGCAACAACTTCTAGTAACTAACTGGAACAACAGAATCTTCTTTGGTTGTGTTCTCTGTTTGTCTTTAGGACCGTGGATGAATGACATCTCTTTTTAAGTCTGTTTTCGTCCTCTTAAAATCTCAATATAGAAACAGTAAGGTTTTTGTAAGATTCTTCCTATGTACATACATATGTACACATATAAATAGGCTTGTTTACCAGATTTGCTTGCAGGTTTTTTGGCACTACTGTTACAATAATAATAATAATAATAATAAATAATCTTTATAGGCAAGCTGTGCTTATTGCATTGTTGGTGAAAGTTGGCGTTATTTCTGAGAAACACACCTGGGAATGGCAAAGTGTGGAAGCTGTGGCTACAGGCCTACAGGTAGGAGCAGACAATTACTTCTTAGGAGGAATGGCTATGTGTAAGGTGACATAGCTGATCTCAAGCAAATATTGTCATGCTCACTTCAATTAACACAGGCTAGATTAGTACTGAATTTATTGTTAGTTGGGCTAAATTTCAGCCAGTCATCCCAAGTGAGTTTTATGCTCAGCATGTCTATGTCCATGTGTTGGGCAGAGGGAATGTGCCCCAGTTAAATACTTCTGTTGGATATCCTTGCATTTCTTCTTGCAAGAATTCATTGCAGAGCTGCTGCTTGTTGAATATCTGCTTCCAGCAAGTCAGTCCATCAGGCAAGGACTGATTCCAGTATGTATGTAGTACACCTGGCGCTCTGAAGCCTGCCAGGAATATCCTGCCTGTGGTGGAAAAGTAGCTGATGCCAGTATCCCAAGGCAATTGCAGTCTTTCAATTGTAGAAGAAACCCAGGAACTCTTTTTCTCCAGTTATGAAAGATTTCAGTCAGTATCTCTCTCATTGCAGGATTTTATCATTTGTGTTGAGATGTTCCTGGCTGCTATTGCGCATCACTACAGTTTTTCCTATAAACCTTATGTTCAAGAAGCTGAAGAAGGGTCATGCTTTGACTCTTTTCTTGCAATGTGGGATATTTCTGATATAAGGGCAGATATATCAGAACAAGTTCGAAATGTTGGTAAGTAACAGATGGATTTGTATGGTCTGTTAACAGCATATGTATTTCCAGCTCCATTTTACACTACTGCCCATCTCTATAGTACCTTGAGAACATTCCATACCAAATTAGTGGCAGCTGCATCCCTAGAGGATTTCATGGTTTATTTGACATTTTGCTCTTTCCAGTACTGCTGACTGATTTATAGTTTTTAATTTTTCTTTGAAATAGATGGATCTCAGGGCAAGTTTCAGGTGCGTTAGGTAGAAGAGGGATGTCCTTTTTGTTTGGTTGTTTGTTGTTTTGTTCTTTTTTTTAAATGGAAAGACATCCTTTTATTTATTAAAGCTAACAATGGCCATGTAAAACTGTTATAAAACAAAGACTCATCTTCTAATTTAACATGCCTGTTTTAGAGTTGATGTGTTCAAAGACCTTGGTATAGTGCTGGAAGTATTAAAAAGTATTTTCATTTGGCACAATTCTAGGAAGGACAGTTTTGGGCCAGCCAAGGAAAATGTTTTTTGCCGAGGATCATGAACAAAATGAGCACACAAGTCTGCTGTCTTCATCTACTCAAGACCCAATTTCTGATGCTGCTTCAATGCCATCTTCACCCATGGGTCATTATCAGGGGTTTGGACACACTGTGACACCTCTCACAACACCGACGACAGCCCCTGCAGTTGATGGTATTTATAACACTTCCGCCATTCGAGACGCTGAGGAGTCACCTGAACTGGAGCACAATTTATCAGAGAAAGCTTTGGATAAAAGTTAGACTCACCTCTTCTTTTAATGTGTCAAGGAGTCCTTTATATACTCGCCACACATGTTCTATTAACATGTACTATTAGTAGTGATGAAAGTTGAAAAGCTTGGAAAAGCTACTGCGCAGACAAGAAGAGGATATGGCTGTAACTGGCATCTGAATTCTGAATCTGTAATGGATGTGAGTATCTGCAAGTACCCCATGAATATAAAACACGCACACTGTAAAGGTTTCTGCGAAGTTTGAGAATCAACTCCTTAAACTGTTGAACACTTATACATCATGTCAAACTTACACTGACTTTTATTAATACAAAAGAAACATTTTAAAAAATAATCTCTCTTTTAAAGATGAAGTGTAAGTACTACTAGTGATGGGAAAACTTAATTTCAAGAATGTAATTTAAGGAGGGCAGTAGTGAAAAGTTTTTGTATTAGCTTTGGTTGTCCTCTTAATGACGGTAACTTCCATACCCTAATGCTGAATGGGGTGAGATGAAATGGTAACTTCTGTACAGATGCCATCTTCTTCCCTTTCCTGTGTAGCTAAATAAAACCCCTTCATGAAGATAATTATTACAGAGCATCAGTGAAGAATCTATACAAAGCAAGCATTCCCTACAGGCCTCACTATAAAATTCCATGCCCAGAACATATGGTTGGTGTATCTGTTGTCCTTGTAGCTCGTAATTAAGTCTTTTACATTCAGAAGAGACAGCCAGGATGATAGGTTTTGGATTCATACCTTACAGTTGACTACTTTTTCTTCCTGTCCTTCTAAAATAAGCATAATGGTCACTACCTTAAAATACATGGAGCCAGGGGAGATAAAGGGTGTCAAAAAGGAAATAAAAACCAAAACCGATTTCTTTATTTTGGGCTGCAATAAATTCTTTTAACGCTTAAGTTTTTTTTAAGCTGTTAAAGCAGGATATCTTGACAATGTGTCTGTAGTAATTTGTATTCATAAATTGTGTGTGTGCGATTATTGTATTATGCTTCTAGTATAGCCTGGATTCAAATGTAATAGTTGATTTCCCCCACCCCAGAAAAGACCTTTGCTAAGGTAAAACTAAGTAGCTAGTCTAATACCGGAGTTACTAGCATTAGATTTCAGACCAAGAAGTACACTTGTATCAAAATGTTATTTTGCAAAAACTGACAAAAGGGGTTTTTATCCCATTACCAGATTTTTACTACTATTGCATGCTTGCAATCTGACAAAAAACCAAACAAAAAAAACCCCCAAACCCCCCACCCAAACACCAACCTAGAGCACTGACCTTTCAAGTGACATCTGAAGTTTCTTTTTCAGCATTGTTAGCATTTACAGGATAAATGTTTCATTTCTGGCTGTTACAGTAAATTCATAAGTGCTTTTTTTGCAGTACTAGTGTGATGTAAATATTGCGCCTTACTCACTAGGCTGCGTATTCCATAATTGACTATGTACTTGCTGTATCTGAAGTTAGTGGGAAAGTGCAAATCATAATTTTCAATTTGCCAAGTCATTGCCTTTGTTGTAAATAAGGAATTAAAGATTTTATTTAAACCGTTCACCTTCTTTCAATTTGATTTACTGCTACAGTAATTTAAGAGAGTGAATGACACATGAATACAACTGTTTTCTCCATGGAAGAAGGGGACCTTAAGTACAACTAGTGCAAGAGTTTGTGCTTTCAGTATTTTAAGGCTTGTATTGAAAAGGAAATTCTTGTTTGAGCTTATGAAGAATCAGAATCTACTTATTTATGCTTGGTTCCTGGTTTCTCTTTATCCATGTAATAGCCATGTTCTAAAAGGAGGCAACTTGGAAAAGCTGGCACCACCTGGAGACTTCAGTCCCCACTGGAGCCACTACTAGAAGTAATCTGATTTCCTGCATGGTAAAAAGGGGCATTGGTAGAAATAGTATCTGAAGGATCAGAGCTGCTGGAAGCTAGGTAGCTGCTGTGCTCTCGCTTTTCAAAAACCTCACACTGAAGAGTTGAATACTTGAAGTTATGTCTATTTGGTGTAAAACTTAGGTACAGAGAAGGGACTTTGATAGGAAAACAGTTAAGTGTTTTTGTTGCTGCTTTCACAGCATTTCTGGAAAGCTAGTAAGTTATTTCATTATTAGTTAATTATTCCATGTGCACAGTATTTCTGCTTTTTTTTTTTTTTCTGGAAGAAAAGTTATTTTTTTCATTGCAGTAGCTTATAGGATCATACCTTTCCATTAATTGCTACTAAATTTCCAAAGTAAATTGAAATCTTTCAATGACACCTACCCTGTCTTGAAAACTACTACAACATATTCTACAGCACCACCCGTCAAGTTTATATATAGTTAATTTGCAAATAGCCCTTCACCTTTATATTAACCATATTTGTTCCTCCCTCGTTTTATGCCTAATCTTCTCCCAGCTTTTAATCAGAAGTCTTAAAAGATTGCTCTTGCCTTACTTAACACACTACTTAAACTCAGTAATACTCATTTTCAGCCCTTTACTTAAGCTGAGTAAGAGTAGAATATGTCTTTTAATTTTTAACTCATTTTATTGTCTTACTAATTGCTAAAAAGCTTAATAAATATACCTAACCACTATTATTTAATGGTTTTGCTTTTATCAGAGGTCTTCCAGCATGAAAAGCCTAAACATTCCTCTACAAAACTGCACTTTGGTGAAAATATCCTGCACCTGCTAGGTTTAGTTGTGTCACACAGTAGATTTTATGGATCACAGGTTTTTTTTCTTTTGGGGTGGGTTGGGGTGGTGGTGGTGGGGGTGTGTGTGTTTTATTTTTTTAAGAAAAGCTGTTTTCTATGTAGTATGAAAAGCCTCTGTCCCATTGTAATTCACTTATATTTTGTTATGCATTGTACCCCTTGGATAAAGGATGGTATCCAGTTACTTTATCTTCAGAAAACTTGACTCAGTCATTATCTCTGTTTTGGAAAAAAAAAAAGCAAACAAAAAAACCCAAAACAAACAACCAACACAAACCAAAAACCTTTCCTCCACTCTTCTAGAAGGAACTTCATTACAGCAGTCTATCAGGTGCAGGTTCAGCGGCAGGCTGGGACAACCACAGCTCCACCAGTCCCTGAAGTTAAACTGAGAGAGCCTATCTGAAACATTTGACCTCGTGAAGAGTACATATGGATCTTGCATGCAGTGAGATTCTAGACAATTTATTTGTGGATGGCTCTTTATACAGGCTCCTGTTAAGGAAACATCAGAGGAATGCCTCTTCTCCATTGAATTGACAGCACAGTATAAAGGAACTTAGCTACAGAAATACCTTGCTAACAGTCTTCCTCCTATCGATACAGAGGCAGAATCAATGCTGAGTTACAAGCTTCGTCAGTCTTCCATTTGGATATAAACTGAATAGAAGGAACTTGTTATCTGCATTAAACCAAAGTATAATGCTGTAGAAGAGATGCAGGAGTACTGTGATGACTGATGTAATATTTTATACAACTTTCATATAGACAAGAGTTCAGGCCCATTATATCACCAAAAATTATTCTCTGAGGGATTCTAAAGAGTTTGCTAGCTTTACCTTCCACTATACAACTTGAGTTATTCAACAGCACTCCTTTACAACTTTTTATAATTGTCTGTGTGCAGCACTAACTTGTGCTACTGCAACTGGAATGGCGTTGCAGTCCCTACCAGAAGGCTAACATCTCAATACACCTCAGCAGGATGCTCTGGCAAGTGAGAACGGGAACTACGGTTTGAGAAACAAGGTCTATCCTGAACAGGCACAGCTGTTTATTCCTGGTACCGGCATCTGGATGCTTTTTTTTCTTACTACAAATGATGTGGTAGCAAGAGAAGTCTGTCCCACTGTTGTAGTCGCTGCAATCGCCAGCAATCAGGTTTTTGCTGCAGTGAAGACAATGCTTGGTAAGCATAGCCTTACGGAGCAAGTTCTAGCCCATCAGTGGAACTTAAGTATCTACTATTAAAGCAACAAAACAGCCTTTTTGATCAGTAGATCAAATTTAGACTTTAATATAAATTAACATCAGTGATGTTATGAACAGTCAATTTATGCATAGGTAATTAACCACAACTCAGTTCACACATTCTTCACCGTTTAACTGTAATGCTAATATTGCTTTTATGGTGTTGAACATCAAGCACAAGTTCATCTCCCGCCTGAACTTGGATGGGCTCATCGAGAACAACTGCAGCTTGTTTCCAGTGCGAGGACTCATCAGATGTATTCAAGCTATGGTCTTCATCTAGATGTATGTGATACCAGAAGGGAATTGCAGTGACTCGGCCAGACTTACAAATTTGTACCTAAAAATATTTAAAGTATTAATCAGTTACACCCGTTTCAAAGAAATAAGAAAGCAGAGTAGTTCAAACCATTTCAATCCATTTCAGAGATACCTGCAGACAAGTAAATTTTGTATTGAAATTTTCAGCCAAGGTGAGCAATTAACAAGCAGCTCTGCAGAACAGCAGTGAAGCGCACTTCTAACTCTATGTACGCCCAACTCACCTTCACTTCTTTGCTGGAGCTGTTCAAGAGAGGGTTCATGAGATCCAGCCTTAGAAGCTCTGCTGGCTTGCTCAAGGGTAGACACGGTAACGTAGAGAGGTCCAAATACACACGAACAGGTACCTAGGAGCATACACCGTAACTTCAGGCATCAATAGTCATTAAAAAAATGAAAAGTTACAAGACTTAAGCATAATGCAGAAGTTTCTAGGAATTACTGTAGTGCCTGTAAGAGACAGCCAAAATGCAAAATAAAAATACACCCTTCAAATCCCTTTTGAAATGTGACTGTTAGGATACAAGGTGATGAAGGAGATAGTAACAGCACAGTCACTCTTCTGTACAGTAACGCTGCATCTTTCATTACTCACACAAAACTTCTCCCACATCAGTTCCAAAACAAATGTTACCCATTTTAGTTTCATCTCAAGGTCCCCATCTGGTCACATAAATCTCTCTGGATAACTTCAACAATATGAAAAAGTTTCAGCTCTTCAGTTTTCTTGCAGTTTACACCAAAACTAAACAGCTAGGCAGCTGCAGGCTTTGGAACTGTGCCTGGAAGACTCCCACCAACTTCATACCTTGAACTGGTTGATAAAAGGGGCTATGTTAAACCCAAGAGTTGGTTCTGTTCCTTGAACAGCACTCTCCAGTAACAGAGACTCTGATTCTACAAGCATGCCATATACCAACACATACTGTGGGAAAATCTTCCCTCCACTGTGAAGTAAACATCTGTAAAATGAGAGAGATTTCACCTCTAAAGCACGTCATTCAACAGTAATGAAAGAACATTAACTACATTTAAGAAAGGCACACTAGTTCTTCCTCTGAAGTCAAGTGCTCATAAGCGTTTGAGTTTGATCCCATTTGCCCAGACAGCCGTATCGTACCAAAAGGGAAAACTTGTCACATAATACCTAAACTATGGTACTAGCAATCTTTTCTCAGTGTCAGTATTGGAAACGGCAATATTTCAAGATGAAGATAGTGGGATTTATTCATAGCACCAGCATCTAATACTGAAGGACTGGCAGAAACGCTTAATAAAACTGGAAGTCAGGAAGTACCTACTGTTGGGGGGCGGGGGGGCACCAGTTAAGGAGGCAGCATACCCACAGAGAAACAAAACCTCGTGGGAATTTAAGTCACCCTTCTTGAAGTGTTCAACTAAAGTTGACAGCAATACAGGAGACAGCATTTGTTCCTGAAAAAACACCTGAGCCTTGCTTGGTCTCTTGCTACAGAACATCACACTGCTGAGAGCAGCAGCACAACAGAAGCTGTCATTCAGCATAATATCAAACACCTCCAATTCAATACAGATTCTTTTAGGTTTCCTTTTCCTATAGCAGGCTGCTTTTCATAGGAATTGGGTAGCTAAGTAGCGCACTGTTGGATGTATTTTCATGCCAACAGATTTGAGTCTGCGTATGATAAAAATCAGAGTAATTTCCCATTTGTTCTTACAGCAAAAAAAAATCTTTCATCCAAAGATTTAGAAAAGGTAATGAACATAAGTAGTCTGGAATATTCTGCCATTGCTAAGCGTGAAGATGAACAGAAGATTCCCTAGCACCACAAAAGGGGATACACCTCTTTTGCATTTTCTTTTTTAGCTACCTATTTCCATTATTTTATTTCTCTTGCTCTGCATTCCTTCCCATCCCTCCTGCCGTGGGTAACAGCTAGCTTTGCTGCTGCCTCCCTGGCTGTCCTAACACCATGTCTTTGTCTTTCAGCAGTACCAGTTTGTTCCAACAACAGTTTGACACGCATGTGAATCTGGGCTTTTCTAACCTTGCACTAAAAACTACCTCAGTTATTACTAATGTGCTGGCTATCCTGGGAACTTTTGACAGACCAAGCAGTAAGATCTTCCATTCATATTCTTGCATACAGTATATAAAGAAGTCTATGAAAGTGGTATCTTGACACTTTTTTTTTTTTCCCAAGAGATACATGTATACAATGGTCACACTAGAAACACGCTGAGAGGTTCAACCCGTTCAGAAAACAAGCTTTTCCTGCTCTACAGAACCAACATGACTAATTTTGTCGTTAGAAGGAATATTTTCAAAAGTTTTCAGATAATTACAGATTTCTAGAAATACTTTTGTCCATTTATACTGTACCTGGATATTGCAGCCTTTTCCATCACCTCCTGCTGGATTAAACCTGATGTCTCTATAACATCCAAGATAATAATACTCCATAATTTGTCTGATTTGGGTCTCTGTAGTACCATGCTTTCATCTAAGTGGCTGAGCCAAAACTCTAATGTTTCCTTAGGGAAATGGTTAGCTTCTGAAATTGCATTAAGTGCTGCCTGATGCTGTTCTTTCTCAATAGAACTGTAGGCTTTAACCGATCCAAGTTTGCCAGCTATAATTGGCAGGATGGAGAAGCCTTCGGACACATCTAAAATGTACAAAGGATCAGGAACCACATCTAGAGAGCTCTTGTTTTGACTCTCTTGGAGGTTCATCCCACTGCCATGTCCATCAACATCCATGGACTGCAAGTCCTTACTTGGATTTAACGACAACAGCACTTTGCCCATGGCAGCTTTAAAGCATTCGTGGTATGGTACGTTGTTCAGCAGGGCTATTTCTGTGGATTCCAGCACACATACTCGACCACTGCCATCCTGCTTGCTAGTCGTCTGAAGACCAGCCAAAGCATTACATAATTCAGCTTCATTGCCCAAACTCAGTGTGTCGTCTCTGTCACTGAAGTCCATCCCACACTCTGAAGTCAAAGAAGAAATCTTCTGGATCTTCAAGTAGCAGTCTTGGCAGCAAACTTCCATCATCACAGTATCTCCACTCTTCACAGAATAATCTTGGCAAAACAGCACAAAGAAAGTCGTGTCAGTTACTTTACAGCAAACATCAGTGAAGCGGCCATATGGCACTTAAAAAAAAAAAAGGCATTATCTCGTTTCTTCATTAGTTGTTACTAGTGTGTATGAAAGCATTGTTCTAGTCTGTAGCCCCACAAGCTACAATCTGTGATTGCACATTAACATTTGCTTTAAACTGTCCCACACTAGGCAAAATCCATTTATTTGCAAAACAAGCCTTTCTATGATAAATAGATATTACTTTAAGTGTTCTGTCAACAGCAGAGCAGAACAAAAACATTCTGGTAAAGAAATTGCTTTTGCTTTGAAATGTTAAATATTATTTACATTTTAATACCTCCTGTAGACAAAGGTAAATTTGTAGTTACATGGAAAACCACAGCTACAGTTTAGAAAGGGTAATCTATTCAAAATAAATTTTACCGGAACATTTATGGTGTACAGCTCAAGATAGTCTTTGGATACTCTCTGTGTACGTTCTAAGAAAGTAAATCCACTGATACAGACCAGAATTTCAAAACAAACGTGCCATAGTTTGACAAACATTTCTTTCAATGGCAACCTAGTCTAAAAGAGTCTCTTCCCTCCCCTACACTTTCAGTTGAACCAGTCCATGGCACAGCTGCCCCTACTGTCTATCAATGCTAAATCAGGGGCAGCTGTGGACTACCCCAAGGGTAGAGAGGCCTTTACAGAGAGATCTGTATAGACTCGAGAGCTGGGCAATTACCAACTGTACGGAATTTAACAGAAGCAAGTGCCAGATTCTCCACCTGGGATGAGGTAATCCTGGTTGTATGTACAATTTGGGCGACGAGGGGCTGGAGAGCAGCCCCACAGAAAGCCATCTGGGGGTTTGGGTGGACAGCAAATTGAGTATCAGTCAACAGTGTGCCCTGGCAGCCAAAAGGGCCAACCATGTCCTGAGACGCATCAAGCACAGCACAGCTAGCCGGTCAAGGGAGGCGACTGTCCCACTCTACACTGCACTGGTGTGACCCCACTTGGAGTCCTGTGTGCAGCTTTGGACACCTCAATATAAGAATGACATCGAAGTATTAGCGTTTGTCCAGAGGGTGACCAAGATAGTAAAAGGTCTCAAGGGCAAGACTTATGAGGAGCAGCTGAGGTCACTTGGATTGTTCAGCTTGGAGAAGGCTGAGGGGTGACCTCATCACAGTCTACAACTTCCTCAAGGGTGGCAGCACAGGGGGAGGTGCTGATCTCCTCTCTGATGACCAGCGATAGGACATGAGGAAATGGAATAATGAAGCTGCTCAGGTGAAGTTCAGATTGGACATTAGGAAAAGGTTCTTCACTGAGTGGGTGGTCAGTCACTGGACCAGGGTCCCCAGGGAAGCAGTCACAGCACCAAGCCTGTCAAGAGTTCAAGGAGCATCTGGACAATGCTCTTAGTCACGCAATTTATTTTTAGGTAGTCCTGTGAGAGGCAGGGAGTTGGACTCAATGATCCTTATGGGTCCCTTCCAGCTCGAGATATTCTAAGATTCTATGAAACAGGAGAATGGAAAATGGGTGAATGGAGAGTAGAGGCTGCTGGAAATGACACTGCCACTGTGTGCACGTGGAACAATATTCAAGCTGAGCCCGAAATGGGGGTGAGGGGTAGGTGGGAATGTTTAGTTTTGTTTTTGTGGCAGTAGCAGCTAGCAATTCCTACCTCACCTCCCCCACCCCCCTTTCATAAGTCACATCTTGACTAAGTAGAGCCAATCAGTAGCCCCACTTTTTGGAGTTGCCCCACAATGCATTTAATTCAGTATAGAAAAAAAACACCTTAATGAAGTGTGCTCCCAGATCTTAAGCAGGTCCCTTATCTGCTTCATAGCAGAGTCCCATGAACAAGCCCTGATACAGGGACTGTGCACTACAGTCCAGAAACACGATCACGAACCACCTCACAGCTACTTGCTGTTGAACTTCTCTGAAACCTATTTGCTGCCACTTCCTCATCTCCAAGATAACCTAAGTAGCTCAAAACAAAAATGAAACCAAGCTAATGCACCACAACAGAAAAGTCCACAGGACGTACCAAGGAGGCCCTGCACAGGATAGACTGCCTGTTCCCAGCAAGTTTCCTCACAGGGATTTGTAGATAGAGTGTGCTCATCATCAAGCTGTAGTACAAACCACACCACAACAGCATCTAGTATTCCTCCTTCAGTGACTGGCAGGCTGAGTTTCCATGGCTTCCTAGCTGCAAGGCTTTTCAGCTCCTGACCAAAGTGGAAAGAGAGAAAAAGTGTGAGAGTTTCTTTCCATAAAGTGTTTTTTATTACACTAAGTCACCCAAATTTCTGCACCAATCCATGAGGGCATCCAGCAGAAACCTGAAGTTAACAAGCTGCTACAATACCAGTTATCATCATTAGTATTCACTAGCATAGGAACTGTCTTCCCCCATGCAAGTGCAATTATCCACATGACCAATCTGCATCCATCAGCCATTAAAAGAAACATGCCTACATCTAAGAACATACATATTTAAAAACACTGACAACTGCAAGAAAGGCTTTAGACTAGCAAGGCTTTCCTTATGAGAAGTAATAAAAACAGAGCCAGTCTTTTGGGCTAGATTCAAGCCAATGCTTAGGCACATGCTTCACTTAAAACCTGTGTTCAATCAGTTCTAGAAATATGTACGTAAGCACTGAATTCACTCGAACAGAGGTTCGGCAAAATCATTACAAAAACGCGAAGTCAAACATCTTTGAGGATATTTTCGCTGCTACCTGGGCTACAGGCTTTGTGTGAAAGCTCAGGCATGTATAATTTCACTACTGGGAAGAACTAAGATCTCCCCTAAAGGGATCAGGTTATAAATTCTCCAATACTCCTAAAAAGGTTTGACTATGTACATGGAAGAAGACTTAATTCCTATTACAATTATTTTCCTCAGTAATTACCTTCTGCTACCAATATTCACAAACATAAAAGGCCCATCTCTAGTATCTTAAGACAGTTCTGGCATAAACCAATTAACAGGAGGTCAAGCACAAGGGACCAAAGATTCTCTTAGTCACAACCATTCTGATTAGTAACAGCCTTTCCTAAACATTTATCAGCTTCCTGATCTGCTTATGTCAACATCTGTCCTCTCGAAGTTTCAATCTTAAAATACGCACGGCAAAAGAGAAGTTCCACTCTAAGAACATGAGTAGCTCTCACATGCTGCATTTTTTATTTTTCCCTCTTTATTCTCATTCTGTGTTCTCCAAGAGTTGGTCTACCTCTCTTCTCACAACTGAGAGATGGCTGAACAATGCACATGTTAAAATTACTGGATGCCAATAGAGCTCATAATAAGATCTCACTGCTCTTCAATAAAAGTGCTTTGCTGCTAGTTGTTTCTCCTGTACATCCTCAAACGGAGAGGAAAAGAGTAATAAGTTGAAGCTTTCCTGGTAGTAAGCCCCTTGAAGCGAGACAGCAAGAGCACAAGCATACATGTTTCTCGGTTTCTGTGAACTTATAGCTGTTTAGAAGTGTATTTGATATAAAAATATTCTTCCTGATTATCCCTTAAAAGCAGCAGGCCCAAGGTTCTCATCCACTGTTTCTAGTAACTGTACTGTTACATCCCTATCTTGTGGCACACAACACTTAAAAACCCACTTGAAGGCAGTTATTTCAGCTTTCCCTGCTCATCCCGTATTTATTCCTCACATTTGTCTACTGCATAAACTTCTTCTATTATTTATTACAATTACAGACTTGAACAGCTCTAGCACATCAGGATGGCAATTTATCAACGAGTGTAGTTAAAGGGACAGCAAAAAAAAATACAGCAACAACAGGAATAAGCAGTAAAAAATCCAAAATGCTGCTATGCCACATATATCCTCTGAATGACAAAAAGATAACTTGCATTAAAAAAAGTAAATGGGACTACAAATAGAAGGAAAGACTACAGAAAGAATGCAGTTATCAAGTTTCCTATGTCTTGATCTAGAATTTCTCAAATATTGCACACAGTAACTTCTCAGGAAAATTAGAAAGAGCCAGTATCTGTAATTGTTGGCAAGAGCACAGTTCCTTTAGGGCCTGAAAGTGAGACTGAGCTTTAATTACTGGCTGCTGAGGTAAACACTCGCTTCCACTCCCAGTGGCACTGATCTGCTGCCAGCAAACATGCACGCAGGTAGTAAGTACCTGGCTAGGTGCAAGTGTCTGCAGCCTGTAATTATAGCCACTTCTTGTTCCCCTGCCTGGGAGGAACTGAGCAGCTGCTGCTGCTAATAATAGCAATAATAATCAGGATAACTCAGCTACTTTTTTTTTTTTTTAAATTTGGACTTCTTATCATTATTTCTCCCACCTGTACCGATGTCTTTCAAGCCTCCTACAACTCAAGAGAAACACTGCTGTACCACATTTTAAGTCTTTTTCTCACTTCTGTCAATTTAGGTCTGGATAGTTAGTACGAGCAGAATAACTGCAACATCCCTCTCATTATTTGAAATACAAATTTACAAAATGAGTCTTCGAAATTACCTTACTAGTGCTAAGTGATTTCTTATCCGAATTTCAATCTTTAGTAATTCTGCTACTGTTTGTAAGTATATTAGTTTTTTTTTAATTCCAATGGGAGCACAGACATTTTTTTTTTTTCTATTTTTTAGCTGCACTGATTGAACATCCAGGGGTGGTCCTGACAAAACAAAACAAAAAAAACCTCAAAACCCAAACAAACAAACAAAAAAAACAGATTGAAAGTAACCTACCAGTGTTTGGAACTGCTGTACTTGCCCAGTGACAAAGTAACAACAAACAGTAACCAATGATTCCAAATAAATTAATTGCATTTCTTCCCTTCACCTTTCCTTATGATATCTTACCATTTCATGACAGGAACACTCCATTAGTCTAACTGAAACTTCAAAGGAGCACTTCTGAAACATGGTTTAGAGTAACACTGTTCTTTACTCTCTAAAATTATCTTTACATGTCTGCCAGCAGGCAGATGCTTAAGAGTAGGCATCTCTCAGATGACAGTAATAATTCCTTATTGATGCTAGAAGCAGAAGCAACATTAGGTCACAGAGAGATTGCTCCCAGTAGTATACTGAAGAGCCTTGTCTTATTTCATTTTTAATCTCAGGATGTCAGACAAGCCAACTAGGAAAAGCTATTGATTCAGAAACACTGCAATTCCTGGCCAAGCAGGAGCCAAGAATAGATTCTGTTATATAAATGAAATTATTTTAAGCTCTGACTCAATGCTAACTCCTCAACACAGGTCAAAGAGCAAGAAACACACCAGAGATCAGGGTTCCTTGCCTTACAGTTCAGGCCTATTTAGTATATGCATACAAATGTATTTTGTGCAAATACAGAAAAGCTACCCTATTTTAGAACGCCATATTAAAGAAATACCATAAGATACCAAAGAGGTTGATTGGTGGAATCAAACTGGTTGAATAGGGTAAGATAATTTCTTCATCTCCTCTCTCTTTTACACTTACCCATCAACACTTACAGACATTTTTATGCCAGATGTAAAATACATCCTTTCTCTTTTGTCTTCAAGAGTCTCTTGGAGACTCTAGCTTCAGAGGAATAAACTAAGTCAGCTCCACAGCTGCATAAGTCATTTAAGATGGGTCTATTGCACTCTTCCTCGCCCTCCCTGTACTGAGGCTGGCAGTTGTTTGATCCTATGGTGAGCTAGTTTAGTTCCCTAAACTACACCAAACAAACAAAAAACCCTCCACCTTCAAAAACTCATAGATCATCATCTGATGACTCACATCACCACACAACCAGACAAGCACTAAAACCAGCAGAGGATTTCAGCACAGCCCTGCCAGCTTTGTACTTGTGAACTGTTCTGAAATTGGATCCGGGAAGCAAATAAGATATGGGGCTCTTGTTATTCATAAATAGATTACTTATAAAGGACATAAAAAAAAAGATTACCTGCAGATTGTTGAAATCTACTGTCATTACTTGACAGGGTTCTGTCAGACATATGTAACCTCCAGGAATACGACTGAGCTTCTCAGTGGTGTAAGGTTCGACAGTTTCCTCTGAACCAGCGGAAGCGTATGTTGGACTAAAGAACTGCAGTGAATTTGGCAAGCGCACGCCAGCAACTTCTTGCGTTCCCACTCTGGGAGTAAAGGAAAAAAGGGAAGAAATGAAACTTCAAATAATTTGACCAAAAAAAACCTCAAAGGAAATGCTTCCCAGGCTGGCTAAGTATTTTTAAATGCCCAGAGTGTAAGAATAGAAAAACTAAAAAAACCAAACCCAGTTCTGTGGGGTTTTTGTTATGTTCAGAGCGGCTCTAAAGCACAGAAAATGCACATCACTTTCAAGAATGAGAACTGAATGCTGTCACTAGAAACTGAGAAAAAGCCCAATATGTCCTTTGTCAAAGGCCGCATACCCTGTGATAATAAGAACAAATAAAACTTTTCTTCTGCTGCTGCATTAGACAGATAATGAAGATGTTTCTTTCAGGTGAACAGAGTAGTCAGAACAAAGATAGATATACAATAGAAAAAGGTATTTCTGAAGTCTCTTTGACATAATACTTTCATTTTTTAGTACTTCTATATATTTATCAAGCACAATCTATGCAAGATAAGGCATTTTTCATAGTCGCATAGCTGCAAAGAAAGTCTAAGTGTTGATTTCTTAGTGGAAAAAGCTTTCACAACTCAGAATACATGTATCCTCTCTTGTAAGACAGATCAATTAGGTTTCTAGAAACAACCTTATACGAAAAGCTTCAAGGAAGAATGAATGCTGTAACTGCTTTAAAACAATTACTTACATACACTGTCCATCTTTTAGGTCTGAGGACTTAAGATTTATTCTCATTTTCAAAGTACGAGTCAGGAAGTTACATGAGACAAGTCTGGCACAAGCTACACTTTAGATTATTCTGAAAAAGCACATTTGTCTGTGAAGGACTTAGTGTTTCCCATTTAAGTGACAGCTATCAAGCAAATCTACATTCCTATAGTGAGATCTAGCAAAGTCCAAATGACAACTAGTTAAATTTTTATTTCTAGAACTATTTTCAATTCTGAATCAGTTTCTCAGGACCTCCCCTCCTTGCAAAAGATCTCCCTATAACTAAGGATGACTAGACAGGCTGTCTGATAATCTCATCAGATACAGTCATCTCCTTGAAGCTCACAACTGCAGAACTGAGTAAGTTGCCTTTTGTTCTAACTTGGAGTCTTAGGCAAATATATTTTGACCATTATACGTAGCTAAAATACAAAAATGAATCAGACTCCATCTTTGGAGCAGATTCCCCAGCAATAGAAGTATATGTGACACAGAAAGCACAAAGTAGTAAGTACTTCACAATAAATACTAAAAAATACAGCAACATTATCAACAATTACAATCCTCTCACCTACTCAGTGAAGTAACTTAGATATTTTAACAACAAGGATGAGAATGTATTCTTCATTTGAAACTGAACCCATGTATTATTTTAAAAGAAATACAACTCAAACAGAACAGCTGCTGTACAAGGCCTATATTGTGGAAGAGGTCAGCAGATTATTATATTATCATGAACACTTCTGGCTTCAATATATAAGCACAGAAGTAGAGCCACTTTATTGCCTCTCCTTCTGGGGCCTAACTGACTAAAAATTAAACATTAAAAAACCCTGAAACCTGTAATTCTTACAGTGACTTAAATTAGTAAATTAACCCATATTCTGGCATATTTTATTCAAAATTACTAAATGTAGATGCACTAATGTAGCAGACCTAGGTTCTAGAATATTGCTTTACTGTTACATGTGACTTTTGAAAGATATCTAGTTCAAACTTGAAAAACAATATGTAGTATACTCCGGTATCTTAAAAGTTTTGTGGAAGTCTGAATTTATCCTCAGTAGAACAAGTCTTCTTACAACTTTGTCATTTAATTTGTTCTTCTGAAAGTAAACACGTCACACGTATGTGAAACAACCCCTTCAAAGAGAGAGCAATGACTTCAGGAGAAAATTAAAGTTAACCATAAAAAAAAAAAAAAAAAAAAAAAACACACAAAACCACTGCAAAGTTAGACCCTCTAATAACCAAAAAAAAAAAAAAAAAAAAAAAAAGACGTAACACCACTGCAGAGTTAGGCCCTATAGTCATTCTAGGGAACACAAGCAATGGGTAGAAGCAGCACCAGCTACAGTAAAGGAACATTACAATTATTACTAAAGCATCAGGTAGTAAAGCTACAGTAAGGGGTAAAACAACACAAAACTTTCTGTAAAGTTGGCTTAAGTGCACCAAAAACAGAATTACAAGAAAACTTGTATGATTTCTCTAGAATTTCACTAGATCCTAGGAAAAAAACTTTTGTTTGTTTGTTTTTACAATCAGAGCACAAGAAATGCAGCATAACTTCAAATTGCTAAAACAAAGGGACAGACTACAAAGCAGAAGACCAGATCAGACACAGACAGATGACTGTGATAGGGAAGATTATCAACAATTGGAGTGAAAGGGGATTCCCTCCCTCAGCAAGATAAATCAGTGTTTGATGATAAACTAAACGCACTTTTAAATGTACTTCAGAAAAAAAAAAAACCTCAGATATTCATAGATTTCTGGGCTCTACATCTACTTATAACCACTCAAAAAGAAATTAAATCATGAGGAAAAGCCCAAAGAAAAGTTGCATTAATTGTACAATACAGAAACTGTGCTAGATGATATATAAAGCATGAGAAAAGGTACTTTCACACTGCTATTTCATTAGGTATCCAGCTCAGAAAAAAACATCCAAACCCCAAAGTTTTGCTGTAGATCATGAAAACACTTAAGGAAATGTGGGGACCGCACATAAGAATAATTCAAAGAGATGTGGACAGTTTAAATCTGAGGATAGGCAAGTGTTTTACATAACACTTAACAGCACTTGATAAAATAGACTTAAGACGGGTATTGTTACTGGAGCAAAAAGGGATCTCAAACAATAAAGGCAGGAAATTTAAAAGTGACATTTTTCTTCTTCCTATAGCATATAATTAATTTGCAGCAGTCATTTCAGTCCTGCTAGCTACCTGACCTTAAGCTATACTATTAGAACTGATTGTTAATTCAACAATCCAAAATTACAATACATTAACTTTCATCTTGTTTAAATTTTGTAAGGAACAGTCAATGCCATGTTTCAAGGCAAAAACCCATTTTCTAATTGATGAATGATTAACCTCTCCTAAAAGAAAATTCTTCCATGACCATCTACTGTGGGAACTTGTCTCTTTCTCGCCACTGTCCAGGTAAACTGCATTAGAAAAATCACTGAGGCAGCCTGGCTATTTTTCATTTTTCAGTACACTGAAACTCCTGTAAAAGCTAGTGTTTTCTTTAATCTGCAACAAGATTAATCCTAAACAAAATACATCAAGTCCAAACCTCTCAGACAGAGACTGTCTCCATACAGTGATACTGTCCTAGAAGATGAGAATAAAAGTGAGTATGAAAGTGATAAACAGTCAGAACTGGTCTCAGCAAAGAAACCCTACTGTATGCTAGTTCAGAATTAGGCAAGGCACATATTCAAAAAGATAATGCTAGGTGGGGTTATTAACACGTAGGCTTTACAAAATCCTGTCCTCATCCTCTGAAAGGGCAAAATCCAGAAGTGAGGTACGAAGCAGATTATAAAGTGGGCAAAATGAGGATAAAGGCCAAGTGTTAATCCAAGAATCTCCAATACATAAATTGGAGAAGTAATTTTACTATTAAGGAATTAAATTTCTTTAGTATGTGTTAAAGGCATGTATGTCAGCGTAACTGAAAATCAAGAGTTTCTGATGAAGTGATCCAGAAAGTCTGAACCACAAAGGGGTTTTAAAAAAAAAAAAAAAAAAAAAAAAAAAAAAAAAAA